AGTGGGAGGAATGGTGTCCCATCATTGGTGTCAGTGAGGGGTGGAATAGTGCCCCATCATTGGTGTCAGTGGGGGGTGGAATAGTGCCCCATCGTTGGTGTCAGTGGGGGGGGGGAATAGTGCCCCATCGTTGGTGTCAGTGGGGGGGGGAATAGTGCCCCATCGTTGGTGTCAGTGGGGGGGGGGAATAGTGCCCCATCGTTGGTGTCAGTGGGAGGAATAGTGCCCCATCGTTGGTATCAGTGGGAGGAATAGTGCCCCATCATTGGTATCAGTGACACCAATGATGGGGCACTATTCCTCCCACTGACACTTGCTGACCCTGTTCTAGTACGGTGCTGCTGCAGCCAGCATATGTGGTTGCAGCAGCACCTCTACACAGAGCACTTACCTGCTGCTCCCGGCACTCAATTTTCGCGGGGGCCGCTCGGCTCCGCCCCCCTCGCCGGTGATTGGCCGCCTGTGTGCCTTTCCCGAGCTACAGTTCTGGCGGCCAATCACCGGTGAGGAGGCGGAGCCGCGCAGCCGCACGAACATCCAGTGGCCGAACTGAAGGAGACGCCGCGCTTCCTGGACCGGATCGCCGTGGGACTGGATCCAGGTAAGAGACGTCAGCCCCTGCAAACCCCTGTACTTAATGCCGCAGCCCCCCTAACATGTGTACCGGCGTATAAGACGACCCCCGACTTTTGAGAAGATTTTCAAGGGTCAAAAAGTCGTCTTATACGCCGGCAAATACGGTACAATCTCTTCAAAACATTTTGAAACATGAATATGGGTGCACCCAAATTATACACTGCTCAAAAATATTAAAGGAACACTTTAAGCAGAGGGGGTTGTTAATCAGTTTCAGCTGCTTTGGTGTTAGTGAAATTAACAACAGGTGCACTAGATGTGCAACAATGAGACAACCCCCAAAACAGGAATGGTTTTACAGGCAGAGGCCACTGACATTTTTTCCCCTACTCATCTTTTCTGTTTTTCACTAGTTTTGCATTTGGCTAGGGTCAGTGTTACTACTGGTAGCATGAGGCGATACGTGGACCCTACAGAGGTTGCACAGGCAATCTGACTCCTCCAGGATGGCAAATCAATATGTGCCATTGCCAGAAGGTTTGCTGTGTCTCCCAGCACAGTCTCAAGAGCATGGAGGAGATTCCAGGAGACAGTTACTCTAGGAGAGCTGGACAGGGCAGTAGAAAGTCCCTAACCCATCAGTAGGACTGGTATCTGCTCTTTGTGCAAGGAGGAACAGAATGAGCACTGCTGGAGCCCTATAAAATGACCTCCAGCAGGCCACTGGTGTGAATGTCTCTGACCAATCAGAAACAGACTTCCTGAGGATGGCCTAAGGGTCCGACATCCTATAGTGGGCCCTGTGCTCACTGCCTGGCACCATAGCGCTCGATTGGCATTTGCCATTGAACACCAGAATTAGAAGGTCTGCCACTGGCACCCTGTGCTTTTCACAGATGAGAGCAGGTTCACCCTGAGGACATGTGACAGATGTGAAAGGGTCTGGAGAAGCTGTGGAGATGTTATGCTGCCTGTAACATCGGTCAGCATGACCGTTTTGGTGGTGATTGAGTGATGGTCTGGGGAGGCATATCCATGGAGGGAAGCACAGACCTCTACAGGCTAGACAATGGCACCCTGACTGCCATTAGGTATCGGGATGAAATCCTTGGACCCATTTTCAGACCCTAAACTGGTGCAGTGGGTCCTGAGTTTCTCCTGGTACACGACAATGCCCGGCCTCATGTGCCGAGAATATGCAGGCAGTTTCTGGAGGATGAAGGAATTGATACCCTTGAATGACCCCCACGCTCACCTGACCTAAATCCTATAGAACACCTCTGGGATATCATGTTTCTGTCCATCCAATGCCGCCAGGTTGCACCTAAGACTGTCCAGCTTAATCATGAACTGGTCCAGATCTGGGAGGAAATACCCCAGGACACCATCCGTCGTCTCATTATGAGCATGCTCCGACATTGTCAGGCATGCACACAAGCATGTGGGGGCCATACAAACTACTGAATACAATTTTAAGAGTTGCTGCAATGAAATTTCAGCAAAATAGACTAGCCTGCTGCATCATTTTTTCTTTTTGATTTTCAAGGTGTTTTTGAATTCAGTCCTCTGTAGGTTGATAATTTTCATTTCCATCAAACAATGGGGCATCCTTACATTCCTAACTCTTTACCCAGTCCATATCAGTATAGATATCCAGCATGAAATTTTTCCCCATTGAGATCTGAGGCGTTTTCAAAGTTTTCCTTTACTTTTTGGAGCCTGTTCAGTTAAAATGTTGGAAATCATGAAGATTTTTCTTCTGTAAAGAAATGTATTGCATACTTCTAGTGAAAATGTTACCAATTACAACCATATAAAGCCTTATTTCCTTTTTCCTTGCGTATTAGAATATGTTCCGCCAACAGCAGAAACTTTTTCAGCAGGCCAGAATAGTGCAGAACCATAGACTGAAAAACAATCAAGCAACTGTATGAACAGTTCTTAAAGGTATTTCTCATGTTTACTTTTTTATGAGCGAATATTTATATACATGCAAAATAATTATGTACAGAAAAATAAATGTCAAGGTATGCAACTAAAATATCATTGTGCAAAAAATTATTTAGAACATTTGCTTTGTTATATTTCTAAGGTACTATTCAGTATTGTTGAAAGAATAGAAATAAATAACAGGTTTTACAGCTTTTATCTTTCTGAAGTAGAACACCAAGTTTAGAAGAATGTCCTAGAATGCAAGTATGTCAGACTGTACTATTTTATAGAAAAGACACAAAAGCAAAAGCTATGTCATATACCATTGGGGTTGATTTACTAAAGGGAAACAGACTATGCACTACAAAGTGAAGCATCACCACATTCACTATGCTCTGGGTAAAATTAGTGTGACTGCACGTGCAAATGCACAGTCTATTTGCCTTTAGTAAATCAACACCATTATGTGTCCAAACTGAAGTATTGCAATAATAGTGTTGAGTGGAATTCAGTGTTAAAAGTATATCCATCAATAATAATAATCTATGAATTAAATATATAGATATCTGCATATACTTTCAGCCCTACTGGCGTGCACCTAGAGTTCCATGAATCCTCGCCTCCCATTGACTGGTGAAGTTGCTTATCTTGGCATTTGAGCAAAAAGAAGCAGCGAGAGGATGTGGACCGGTCTTTGATAGCACTAGCCAATGTTAAAGTAGAACATTGAGCAAAACATTTTTTTTTTCATTTTGGATAGAGTAAGGGAGGGTTATATCCCATCAGTTTATTTTTTGCCATGTGTCCTATTGGGGAGATTTACCTTCATTCCTGACCAAAAGCCAAAACAGAAAGTGAAAGAAAACCCCTGCAATTTAAGGAAATTTCTTGGGGACCCCCGGGTCACCAGAAGTAGTCTCCATTGAAACATTTCCCCTCTATTTCTATTACTTTTCTGGGGACAACCCAAAATTTGGGGTTTTCTTTACTTTCACTTTCGATAATAATGGTAAACAGGACTAATAAAGAGGGTGACTCTCCCTAACTGGAGCACAGACAGCAATAAAAATCTGACGGTGTTGTAATCTTTCCCCAATCTATGCAAAACTAAAAAAAAGTTTTGCCTTTAGTTATACTTTAAATCTTACCGATTAGACTGTCATAGGTATCATGAGTAGAGATGAGCGAATTATTCAAAAATTCGGTTCGGCTGATTCGCCGAATAAATTCGCTTCGAGCCGAATATATTCGCTGCGAATTTAACTCATAAAAAGGGTGTTTCTAGGCTTCAGAGAGCCTTTATATTAGTGCAGAACACTGTACCTTTAATTTAAATGCCCTTGGAGTCTGCTGGGAAGAGAAATAATACTGTCAGTCAGTATGACATGCAGATGAGTGCCGTCGATCTTAGAATCACCGCACACTTCACTCATTTGGGCAGTCACGGGGCCAAAACCAGAGTGTGGAGCACAGTGTGGCGGTGGAGGCAGCAGCAATGGGAGGCCATACAGCACCCTATGACAAAATGGAACCCACCAGCAGTGTGAGGAGACCTGAAAGTGGCACATGGCAGAGTGTGGCGATGGAGACAGCAGCAATGGGAGGCCGTACAGGGACCCATGACACACTCTGGACCTGGCAGCAGCATGAGGAGGCGGTACAGGGGCCCATGACAGATTACGGGCCTGGCAGCAGCATGAGGAGTCGGTACGGGGGCCCATGGCAGATTACGGGCCTGGCAGCAGCATGAGGAGGCGGTACAGGGGCCCATGGCAGAGTGGCGGAGCGTAAGCAGCTAAAATTGAAGGCCATACAGAAGCCTATGTTAAAAAGTCCCCCCAGCAGCAGCGTGGGGAGACGACTATCAAGAGTCCAATGGCAGAGTGGCGGAGCAGAAGCAGCTTCAATTGAAGGCCATACACAGGCCTAGGTTTAAAAGTCCCTCACAGTTAATTCCAATAACGAACTCTACTCCTCCGTGCAATCTACTTACGAGACCCTGGGCAGGTCTGGGTCCAATTTGTGGTAGAGACTGGTTTTGTTCAGCCATGCTTGAGCGAGTAATAACAGGTCTGTGCTGCCCTTTGGTGTCTGGCTTAATGCGCACAACACTGAACGTCCCAGCGTTTGTCAACGATTTGCCGTTAAGTGATGCAAACCCGCTGAACCACGTTCATGAGGAGCCGGTACAGGGGGCCATGAATCAGTATGGACCTGGCAGCAGCGTGAGCAGACGACAGAGGCACATGGCGCAGGGTGGCGGTGTAGGCAGCATTATTCTGAAGCCATACACAGGCCTAGGTTAAAAAGCGGAAGCCGTCAGCAGCGTGAGCAGACGACAGACACATGGCGCAGGGTGGCGGTGGATGCAGCAGTATTCGGAAGCCAAACACAGGCCTCGGTTAAAAAGCGGAAGCCGTCAGCAGCGTGAGCAGACGACAGAGGCACATGGCGCAGGGTGGCGGTGGAGGCAGCAGCAATGGAAGGCCATACAGCACCCTATCACAAAATGGAACCCACCAACAGTGTAAGGAGACCTGAAAGTGGCACATGGCAGAGTCTGGCGATGAAGTCAGCAGCAATGGGAGGCCGTACAGGGACCCATGACACACTCTGGACCTGCAGCAGCAAGAGGAGGCGGTACAGGGGCCCATGGCAGAGTGGCAAAGCGTAAGCAGCTTAAATTGAAGGCCATACAGAGGCCTATGTTAAAAAGTCCCCCCAGCAGCAGTGTGGGGAGACGACTATCAAGAGTCCAATGGCAGAGTGGCGGAGCAGAAGCAGCTTCAATTGAAGGCCATACACAGGCCTAGGTTAAAAAGTCCCCCCAGCAGCAGCGTGGGGAGACGACTATCAAGAGTCCAATGGCAGAGTGGCGGAGCGGAAGCAGCTTCAATTGAAGGCCATACACAGGCCTAGGTTAAAAAGTCCCCCCAGCAGCAGTGTGGGGGAGACGACTATCAAGAGTCCAATGGCTGAGTGGCGATCCGGGAAGTCAGCGTTGTGATTGCAAATGCAATGCAGAAATTCTACGAAGTAATGCCGTGGGTGCGAAGAAGATCATATACCGTCGTACTTCCATCCATAAGACGGAACAACCTGCGAACCGGGAGCTTTATTGCCCTGACCCGCTGAGCAGCTTCTGGGAAATACCCAAGAGGCCCATGGCAGAGTGGCGGAGCGGAAGCAGCTTCAATTGAAAGCCATACACAGGCCTAGGTTAAAAAGTCCCCCCAGCAGCAGTGTGGGGAGACGACTATCAAGAGTCCAATGGCTGAGTGGCGATCCGGGAAGTCAGCGTTGTGATTGCAGATGCAATGCAGAGATTCTATGAGGTGATGCCGTGGGTGCGAAGAAGATCAATGGCTGACATCTAAGTTACACAGGGGAGTACCTTTATCCGCTTGTAACATCAGGAAATCGGTGATGGCCTTTCGCTGTTCGTAAAGGCGGTCTAACATATGTAGGTTGAATTCCACCTTGTTGCAACGTCGCAGATCAGGCGATGCTGTGGAATTCCGTTCTGCAGCTGCAGCTCAAGGAGGGTGTGCTTTGCGGTGTAGGAATGGCTGAAATGCATGCAAAGTTTATGTGACATTTTAAGGATGTCTTGCAGTGGGATGGTGGATTTTAGGAACCGCTTGACAACCAGATTGAACACGTGAGCCATGCATGGCACAACCTTCCTTGACGCAGAGCAGACACCATGTTCTTCCCGTTGTCGGTCAACATGGTTCCGATTTTCAGTTTGCGCGGAGACAGCCATCTGTCGATTTCTCTGTTCATTACACTCAGAAGTTCCTCCCCTGTGTGACTACGTTCGCCAAGGCATACCAGGTGCAGCACAGCGTGACACCGTTGCGCCCTGCACATGTGATATGCCGGTCGGGTAATGGGACTTGGCACGGGGGTGGCGGCTGAGGACACGGCGGAAGAAGAGGTGGCAGAGGCGGACATCTTTGCTGGACCAAGGACGTGCAAACGTGGAGGCAAAAGCGGCGTGACCTGTCTAAGTTGCTGGTGCAGCTATGCCGGCACCACGTTCACCCAGTGGGCCGTAAATGACATGTACTGTCCCTGACCGTAGTTACAGCTCCACACGTCGGCGCTGCCGTGCACTTTGGCAGAGACCGACATGCTCAAAGACTGGCCCACCATCTCTTCTACATGTGAATGCAGGGCTGGCACTGCCTTTTTGGCAAAGAAATGCCGGCTTGGCACTCTCCACCGCGGCTCGGCACAAGCCATCATTTCTCGGAAAGGTGCTGAGTCCACCACTTGGAAAGGGAGGGACTGCAGCACCAGCAACTTGGACAGGAGGACGTTCAGCTTCTGCACCGTCGGGTGCGTGCTCGCAAACTGTTGTCTCTTGGAAACGGATTCCAAGAAAGACTGCTGACGGAATCCGTGAAGAGGAGTAGCAGGAGAAGGAGCATCTGAACGAGCGGAAGATGCCAACGAGCGACAACTCCCCTCAGCAGAGGTGTTGGAGCCTTGACTGGCTGATAGAGGGCGATTGACGTCGGGTGACGGAGCAAGTAACAGAGCGGGTGATGGAGCGGGGGCTGGGGCAGGCAGAACCGCCGTATCTTTATCACGGTTTTCCCAGGCCACCAAATGGCGACGCTGCATATGCTGACGCAACTCTGTAGTCCCAACATTGGCCCCCTGGCCACGCTTGACTTTCTGGCCACATAGTCGACATACGGCTACATTTACTTCCTCGGGCGGCTTGACGAAAAATTGCCACACCACCGAGTAGGAAACTTTGCCCCCGCTACTCCTCACTGGCTGACTGCTACTTCCTCTGTGCACACCGGCACCACTACTGGCCGTGGTGGTAGGCTGCAGTGGAGCTGGTGCTCTACTCCGTGGCCGTTTGGCTCCACTGACACTGCTGTGACCCTGCTGCCTCCTGGGCAACCCACCGACTGTTTTGCTCGCTGGCAAGCTGGCACCCTCTTCTCCTGATGATGCGGAAGCAATAGCCTGATGATGACGAGGCTGCCAAGTGCGATCAGCCTCATCATCATCAATTAGGGTCTCCGCGTCACTACTAGCCCCCTCGGCTGCGTGTGGGTCAGGAGACAGACCTGTCTCTAGACCGGCTACCGAGCCACTCTCCTCGCCACTACTTCTTCGCCTGGCTGCTGAAGAGGCGGATGTCTCCCCCGTTCCTGACCGCCCTCTGTTAGCTCTTACTCACTGTACAGTGGGGCTGAGCCCACAGCATGCGATACTTCGCTTGGTGAGGGAACACCAAAGGACAGGGGCAGGTCGAGGACACGTGATTTCAGTGGGCTTGCTCCCGGGCCATGCCAACTAACGGTTGTGTCTGACATACCCACCGACCGTTGGCTGTAGGTGTCAGAGGTGACCTGGGAAGAGGAAGACGACCGAGTCAACCAATCGATGACGGCAGGGTTGTCGGTGGAGACACGACCGCTGGATGACACCGGGAGCACTGGCCTCTGGCTGTGACTAGTGCTGCCTCGACCCCTTCCTCTGCTGCCACGTCTGCTCGCTCCTGAAACATTGCCTCCTCTGCCACTCCTCTGCGTGTTGTCTGACATACTCTTTAATTCAATAAGCACCCCAAAAATAAAACCGGATTTAACTCTTTGAACGTACAATAGTGGTTGTGAAGCAGAAAGTCAGTTTATTTAGCACAATCGGTCAATTGCAGCTTGCCGTTGGCTGTAAACTGTACGTTTATGTCACTGGAATGCACTAATCACTCAAAAAATATTACCGCCACCCGGCGTGTATATGGATTTAACTCTTTGAACGTACAATAGTGGTTGTGAAGCAGAAAGTCAGTTTATTGTACACAATCGGTCAATTGCAGCTTGCCGTTGGCTGGAAACTGTACGTTTATGTCACTGGAATGCACTAATCACCCCAAAAAATATTACCGCCAGCCGGCGTGTAAATGGATTTAACTCTTTGAACGTACAATAGTGGTTGTGAAGCAGAAAGTCAGTTTATTTAGCCCAATCGGTCAATTGCAGCTTGCCGTTGGCTGGAAACTGTACGTTTATGTCACTGGAATGCACTAATCACCCAAAAAATATTACCGCCACCCGGCGTGTATATGGATTTAACTCTTTGAACGTACAATAGTGGTTGTGAAGCAGAAAGTCAGTTTATTGTACACAATCGGTCAATTGCAGCTTGCCGTTGGCTGGAAACTGTACGTTTGTGTCACTGGAATGCACTAATCACCCAAAAAATATTACCGCCAGCCGCACGTGTAAATGGATTTAACTCTTTTGAACGTACAATAGTGGTTGTGAAGCAGAAAGTCAGTTTATTTTGCACAATCGGCAAACTGCAGCACCAACTGTGCACGACAGCCACCGAAAAAAAAAAGGGTGTATGTCACTTTAAATTTTCGATTCTTTGATAGCTGTGGCCCTAAGTAACGATTCTGTGTCCCTGAGTAACGATTCTGTGTCCCTGAGTAACGATTCTGTGGCCCTAAAGTCTCTGTGGCCCTAACTCTGTCCCTTAATACACACAGGTCTGTCTCTCTTGAATGACCAGAGGCTAATGGAGAATTCTAAGATGGCCGCGATTTATAGCTCCACCATTACACAGTGCTGGCTGGCTGGTGATTGGCTAATGCGATCACATGTCATGAATGCATTATGGGTCAGCGCGCCTTGTCTGCGCGCCTTCCCAGAGATCCCCGCCCCATCTTCTCTGTCCATTTTCTTCTCCGTCGCCACACATGTCGCCGCCATTTTTGGGAAAATTCGATTCGTGCATCCGAAGTTTGCTAATCTTCGGATTCGTCGCGAATAGAATTTTTCCAAATCTTCGGAACAAATTCCACTTCGTCATGTTCGATTCGCTCATCTCTAATCATGAGTTCCAAGGCTTGAAGATGTTTGAAGGTATGTGCAGGTACCACCATGTGAATGTATTCCTTGCACATTATTAGTTTCTTCTGTATCTTTGGACATTAGCTCCAACAGTTTGATTTTTTTCCACCAGTTGTCTTCCAGGACAGCTTTTGAAAGATGGAGCTCCTGCTACCAGACCAGGAAACACATTGCCGCATCAGCTCAAAGGCGGCCCTCCAAGCACACAGTTTTTATTGTTTTCTTCATCCAGAGGTTACCCGGGGAACTGTATTTATGAAGGAAGTAGCTCTATATCTTAAGCATGTAGCGGAGGTTTCTCACCTAACTTGTCTGCTGTTGTAGGCCATAGGATCCCTCCTAGTAAGGAGGCAGGAGGAGACCCATAACTTTTTCCATCTGTGCCGGCGAGGGTCTATATCATGGATAGTGATTTCACTTATATGGGTTCACCTTTGTGGCTGACCATTCCATGCGGCTGTGTGGCGGCATAGAAGAGAGGGGTTACATCATTCTTCCCTGATGCAGGGGCATAATTTCCAGTAGGAGCAATGTCATCTTTGGGCGCTGGAAGCCGTGTTTCCAGCCCCCTCCAGTGCAGGGGGGAAAAGGGAGGGCCTGAGTAGTGTTAGGGTCTGCTCTAGAGGAGGAAACACATGGCTATGGAGACTTCCTACCATTTGCAAGCTCTGGTGGAAGCAGGCACAAGCCCTTCACAGGTAAGCGGTAATATTTGGTTCTGTGCTGCTGTGTATCCTGTGCTGTTTTAGTGGCGGTGCAACTTTGCTGGCCTGGCACTGTTAGGCTGCTTTTGTGATTCTGGTGTCCCTGTAGACATCTGGTTATTGGACATTTTTGTTGGTTTGTTTCAGACTAAGGGCCTAGAGGAGGACAAGGGTGCTACTCCTAAAAGGAAATGGCCAGGGTCTGCAGTTAAATTAGGATCCAATTATTCTATCTCACTGTGCCACTTTTGTATTGGAGATGTCTTCCATTTGAAGAAGATCGTAGCCTACTCTAGAACAAATGTCCACGACTGGATGCGCCTTTATCTAAAGATTAAAACAAAAAAAAACAAATCTCGCCTTTGAGGACATGGGCTACTAAAAGATTCTTTGGATAGAAGAGGTTGCGTTCTACTTAAATGGGCTTAGGAGTACAGTATGAAAAAAACCTGAAGCTGGCATTACCCACTACCTGTGTTGCAAAAAATCTAGAGTTTTAGCTGTCATAATTGCAGGCTCATTTGATGATCGGAACCCCTACAAAACAACTGCTGGGGTCTCTTCCTTTGATTCAAAGCAGTGAATTTTATTGCAGATGCTTCTGTAGAATCAATGAAAATGTCAGCAAGAGTATCTGCCCTAGTTGCCCAAGAAGTGCACTAT